GGGTTTTTCTTTTAAATTTATTGCACATTTGAATGTTTGAATAACTGAGTAATTGTAAAGAGCAGCTACTACAACATGTTATTTTATCAGAGAAGAAACAAAATTCTGATTTAATGATGCAGACATACATTTAAATCTTGTTGTACTCTTTTGAATCAGTCATCACCATTTAGTACACCAGCTGACTTTGTTTTACCGAAGTGTCTGAAGTCTTTGTGTAAAATCTCACCTTTGACATCTAAATATTTTTAAATATTTGCGCTACATTTCAGCTTCTACGACTGCAACATTATGTTGCCCAAAATATATAATATAAAAAGGCTGATGGGAGGATCACGAATAGGACAATGAATCATTTTCTTCAAGGTGTAAATAGCAACTACTCAAAATGTAAAGTTCAGCAGTCATAGGAAAAGATAGCAGAAAGTTCAGAAGTGGATGCTTTCTGCAATAAAATAAACAAATTAAGATAAATCATATAAATTAATGAAGGTATTTTAGCAGAAAATGAGCTTTGTTTCAGGTTGACAGGAGCTTTAGGAAATCCACATAGCTATGCTGTTTGGATTTAATACACTTCACTCACCTTATTTCCATATGCAGACTGGGAGGTATATCAAAGCATGTGTTGTTTTTCATGTGTTTAAAAAAAATAGAAATGTTAAAGAAAACTATCTCAGGTGCTCTGAGCTGGTGTCATTTCCTGCTCATGTTTGACAGCTCCCGCTCAAATGTGGGATCTGAAATACTTTAAAAGAACCCAATAAAAGCAAATCCGGGCACATTTTGTGCTACTTTGACTTTTGTCGATTGCTCATATAACCTTTGTGACTCATTACATCCATAATAATCCTGGTAATGAATAACTAATTGATAACTACAGTGTGAATACCTCACACAATTAACTTAATTTCACATGCTTGTGATAAATGTCGCATACACAAAGTTATTGTTACCTTGCCTTACATCAAAAACACAAGGTTTTTTTAATAGAAAGAGAAATTAACTAGGTCTCTCTCTCTCACACACACACACACACACACACAAACCCGTTCAGCTATTTTAGTGAGGACCTTCAGTGACATAATGGTTTCCCTAGTCCCTTACCCTAACCCTAACCATTAAAAATGAATGCCTAACCATAACCTAATTGTAACCCTGACACTAAAACCACATTTTGAGCCTCAAAACTGCCTTCAAATTTGTGAGGACCGGTGTGTGTGCCCTCACAATTGACTGTTGGTTCTCACAAGTAGTAGTAGAATACAGATTTCGGTCCTCACAAAGATAGCTAGAGAGGAACACACCCACACACACGATGAAAGAAGAGTAGATGTTTTGTGCAATTCTCAAATGCAGAGGTATATTTGAATAAAAACACAGGAAAGAGAAAAATAATTCAATACACTAAAACAAAGGTTATGTAAAATTAAAACTCCAAACAGAGTAAGTTTAATAGAGTGACCTATCATTTCATTTCCAGGCTTCCACTTTGACTGTGAAAGCATCAAACTGGGTATTTTACTTTACCACCTGTTTTTGTCTGTGATCTGTTTCTCAATCCCATCAGACATCTTTACATATTCAACATCCCGTCATCTTGATGAGGCCTGATGATTTCTTGATTAAAGGAAAACTGAATAATCACAATTACCCAGATCACCAATTTTTCTTAATATAGTCTCATGAATGAAACCTTGAACCCACAGCTGCACAGGACAATATGCATTTACACTTAAATGAACACAGTCATCACAGTTAATTTGAGTCAATCACAAAAAGCACCTTCTTGCTGCTGAAATAACTAGTGTGTTAGATATGTCTGAA